TCAAATATATGAAAGGAGAAGGAACCCTGTCCTTCTATGTGACACGTGTCCTTTTTAACTTTTTTTCTTTAAATATCAAAACTCGAATTAAATTATCAAAATAAATCATTCGTCTATTCATCTTCTCTACTGGAATAATTCATCTCATTTTCTATGTTTGGTGCGTTGAATTTCTTTGGTTTTTTACGTCCAAGATTGATGACAAGCTAGATCATTAAATAATAGTTGGATACAAGCTTTTGATGCTTTGTAGCTAATAATTTGGTTCTTCTCTGATAAACTTGCTCATGCAATCCTCACCGTGAGCAAGTGGAGATCTATCCAACGATGGAAGATGATATTTGATCAAAGATACATTAAAGAAGACTAGACGAAAGTGAAATTTTGTTGTTGATAACCTTATACATAGTCATTTTCGATTAAGATCTCAATGATCTAAGCACTTATAGAAAACATGGTTTTCCCAGTCTTAAAAACATGGGTTTTGATTGTTATAAAATCTGGAGGGTTTTACATCTATGCAATGGACAACTTCAATGGAAGAACCATCATGTCAGTGGAAAAGCCAAAAAGATGCAAGTGAAAAGGAACTTGAATAACATTGTCGTCAAGAAATTATTGTCTCTTACCTTTTTTATTGTCTTGGAAAAAGTTATTTAACCGTTAAGAAAAAGAAAATGGATTGGATCGAGAAAGAAGACATTGGCAGAGGAGGAGAGTAAGTGTTACTTGATCTTCGTTGTATAAGTGTTACTTGTAAGTACCATCAGCAAGTTCCCTTCAGTTATTTCTCTGGTTTTAATTAGTTCTTTAGGACTTGGAAAGTCAACACTCAAGCTCCGCACAAGTTTAGATCATGCTCAGATTTTTTTTTTTTTTTGCAACATCTACAAAAATAATTATTCGTTATTATCTTTATTTATCAGGGACTATTTTCATGCATTTTTTAAATTTAGGTATACAAGAACAAACTTTCTTCTCAACAGAATGTTCAAATATCTGAAAAATTAGAAGAAAGCATTATAGAAAGAAAAGCAGCATATATGCATATATGAAAAAGAAAACATGCACCTATAAGCGGGTATTGGCCTAGTTCTATTAAC